AAATGTCGTTGCGCCCAAGTATCGGTATACCATTAATTGATGTCCTATCTTTCACCTACAAACTTTTGAGAGTTGTCTCAGCTCATGATAACCATGTGCTCTACTGTTTCTAAGAACAAGAGGATTAAGTTAGAGTACAAAAAATCCTATTTTTTCGGATATAAAAAAAATTCTTTCCGCATACCTTTTGAATTTAGAAGGAAAGAGTGTCATAAAAGAATATCTATTCTAAAGTGAAGAAACATGTAAATTCATTTTATTAGTAACGTACCTTCAGCATCAAATGTTAAACTACTAAGATCACTTGAAATAGAATCATGTCTTGAATGATTGTTATTCTCATTTGTTAACTGTTTGGAAGAATCTGGTGATCGTGTATTTTGAGATGTCAGTACCATAGCTGATTTTAAATCTTCTTCAATTTTCCTGTAGACAAATATGAAACATAACATTTTCTATCTGTAGAATAATGATTTTAATAAACAAATTTGTACCTGTTTTCTTCATCTAATTTTCTTAATAATTCAAGTTCTTCCTCTGACATACTCTTGTGTAAAGTCATATCTAAAATCTGTGAAACAGAGAAAACAGTCAAAATTTAGTCATTGACAATCAATTCTCATTTAAGCCTCCGCCTCTGCTGAGAATTAGATGAGACATACTTTTTTCTCGAACAAAAAAATTATATTATCCTAATGGTGGCCAAACCAGTGGCAGATGTAGAAAATTTTTCTGATAGTGGCGTATGTAGGTAAAAGTATAGCTATAGTGAGTGTATCTCAACTACAACACAATTCCTCTTATTTTTATCATAAAACAGTCATTTTTGCGGGCAAAAATGCGTTTTTTAGAAGTAAGATAGTTTGATTACTTTTTTTTACTAATAATTCTTAACAATACACCTCAGAATATCTTTTTGTTACCCATCATGTAATTAAAATACAATGAAACCTCATCAGATAACTTTCTTTCATAAAAGAGATTATACAAGATTGCTCACTTTTGTATTTCACATTGAGTTAAAGTGGCTCATTGAACAGTAACTAGATGAGATAGTGCAAATTTTTCATTCTCTTCTTCATAAATAGTTGCTCATATGCAAGTATGTCGTTAGACCCAGCAAAATCATACCGCATACGATTTTACATCTACATAACTCTCATATATTTATCATGAAAGAAAGTGAGTACATTTAGATACGTAACAATCTATTTGTTCAATTAGCAGAT